ACCCACACACTTTTTGCTGCCAAAATAAACATTACCAGATTATGGAACACAAATAACGCCCCCTCAATTACCTCACTAATTATAGACCTCAACATCCAATGCGAAGTGGAGAAAAAATCCTCAATCAATACTTCCTCCCACCTTAAATTTAACCAGAAATGGACCCGATGGTTAAATCACCGAAAATGTTCTGTACAACCCTGAAAACACTCAAATAGTAAAAAACACCTCCTAAACCTAGACTGGTACATCCTTATCCACCCAGTTATATCTTCCCCCCACCCCCATCTCCAGTACCAATAACCCCCCTAACAACCCAACTCCTCACCAAGGTTCTTCATACATATATAAATACCTCTGATGATATCGCTAAATGAGACCAACTCCCCCATTGCCTAATGAATGGAATAACAACAACAAATGCTCAACTGTATAATGTTTTATTGCAATATTGTATGAATGAACAATGTCTCATTCCTTTGTTTTTTCTCTGAAAAATTAAATAAAAATATTGAAACATAAAAAACATGGATGAGCGAGTTTGCGGTGGAGGAACTTGACTGGCATGCACAGAGTCCTGACCTGAACCTGACAGAACACCTTTGGGATGAATTGTGCCTGACCACACAAATGCGCTTCTGGAAGAATGGTCAAACATTCCCATAGACACACACCTAAACCTTGTGGACAGCCTTCCCAGAAGAGTTGAAGCTGTTATAGCTGCAAAGGATGGGCCAACAAAATATTGAACCCTACATACTAAGACTGGGATGCCATTAAAGTTCATGTGCGTGTAAAGGCAGGCGTCCTAATACTTTTGGCAATATAGCGTACCTGTGCATGGCATTTTCTGGAATGCATCTCCATGGGCAAAAATATGGTGCAGCGGTAGCTCCTGGGTGCCACAGCAAGGATATATTACTCTGTACAACTGTATACCCTAATGTATGGCGTTGTGAATGAACCCTATTACATAATACTTGTGGGCAGCTACTGCATAATCTAGAAATGTAAACAAAAGTTGATAAAACTTGGAATGTACAACAATGCCAGCTTTCTATCATGGGACCTCATTGGTATAAATCTTTTTCTAAAATAAAAAAAAAAGGCATCTGAGGACCTTCACAACTTTCCCTTCCTTTGATATGTATTCTGCATGGACATGCATCCAGTGGTCACCTTCTCATCTTTCAACATTCATCTGCGTAATCCTTTTATCTTCAACAGTGTGCAGGCAGCCCAGAACCTGTATCTCTTACACTTTGCTGGAGTCCCATTCCACGCATGTGCACAGACAAGGATATGATAAATCCTGCAGTCTGTTTCTCCTCTCTGAAGAGCTGGTGTCAGCCTTTGATAAATCCCCCTTTGTTGCTTATCTTGCACAAGGCACAAACACTTAATAATGCAGAATAAATCTTTGCCGGCTTCCTTTCAGGCACGAAGCATTGGATGGTCCTGCCATAAATTCTCATGTCCATAATGTTTTCATTGGCTTTAATTTTGCTCTGGGGTGTGCAGGTCAGGCCTGTTTGATAGCAAGTGGAGAAGATGGAGGAAAAACAAACACGTCCCGTGAGAAATTGTCACACAAAAAATATGTCATACTAAAAACAGAGCTCAGACAAGAACTTGTAGGGCAGACACCACATTATTACTATATTTCTTTTTTAGAAAAAATCAGCAGTTGAAGAAGTAATTTATTTTAAAGGCCAACTTCAACCAAACAGCCTCAAGGGAAGCTTTTTAAATGTATTTTCCATATATCACGATGTGATCAGGTTAATGTAAATAAGTTTATTATTGTGTGTTAAAGCCCAGCTGAACCTTTCGTTTAAATCAGCTAAATATATTCCAGGTAAATCAAAACAAAAAGGTGCGCAAAGTAAAAAGCTGTGCAGTTTGTTTTCTATAAAATGCAGTTACAGCCTGATTAGAAAAGCTGGCTCTGGCCAGCACGCTGCAGAGAAAGATACTTGCCATGTCAGCAGTGGTCTCTCTGCAGAGGTCTGATATGCTTCCTGATGAGTCACAGCTAGTCCTGTCGATGGGATATGTAGTTTACAGAATTAAAGGTAGCCTTACTAATCAGGGGGTGTCAAACATCTGCAAGGGGACGACTGCTTCCACACAGAGAGTAATGTTCCTTCTTTATGACACGCTAACAAGCGGCAGGTTTTTCTGCTCAGGCTGTGGCTGCTTTATTAAGTGCCTCCCGCCTGCCATATAGTAATATGACAGATGCAAGGTGGTTCTCTCATTCTGGGAAGACATCATATGACGTCCTCCCATTCTCAACGTCCATGCACGGCTCCCGGAGCGCGCAGCGCAGTGATAGGCGGTGCGCTGTGTCCCTCGGACACAGCGGATCACCAATCCACGGAAAGTCGGTTCGGCTCGGTCATGTGATCAGCTATGTCCAATCACAGCTGATCACATGTAAACAGGGAAATGCCGGTTATTAGCATTTCTCTCCTCATGAGCTGTCACGCTGACGGCTCATGAGGAGCAGGGGCGTATCTGCCGCGAGGCAAACAAGGCATCTGCCTTGGGCGGCATTTTTCAGGGGGGCGGCATCGCCCCCAGGCAGAAGGGACCACTGCTGTTGCTGCAAAGGGCTGTGCTTGGCCAAGGGGGCCTGCTCGTGTGTGCTAGAGCTGGGCATGTTCAGGCGGGTTCGTGTGTACTCGGGTGGCGAGGATGGGTGAGGAGACAGAGAACCTGGCAGTCATGGGGCCGCCTAGAGAGGGGGCCGAGTGGCACATAGAGGACCGTGCATTTCTTGGTTGCTCTATGTGTCGCCCAGTCGCCTCTCCTATCCATCTCCTGCATGAGGTCAGCTCCTGTATGCTGCCCCACGCCCCCCTCCCTCCAGCACTGCAGGGTATCTGTCAGCATATGCAGTCCCCAGTGCTGACAGTCTCCCCCTCACACAGATGGGAGAGCAGAGAGAAAGCTGCCCCTCCTCCCCCCGACCTCTCCTCCTGTGTCTGCCCCACCCACACTTCCAGCCAGCCTTGTGTCTTCTTTCCCCCCTTCTCTCTTCTCTTCTCTCTCTCCACTCTCCCCTACTTTCTCTCTCTCCTCCCTTCTTTCTCCCTCCCTCCCTTTCTCTCCTCTCTCTCCCTTCCCTCCCCTACCCCCTTTCTCTCTCCCCCCTCTCTCCCTTCTATCTCCCTCTATCTCCCCCTCTCTGCCCCCCCTCTCTCTTCCTCTCTCTTCTCTCCCCTCTCCACCTCTCTCTCTCCCCTCCTCTCCCCCCCTTATCTCTCCCCCTTTCTCTTCTCTCTCCCCCCTCTCTCTCTCACCCTCTCTCTTCTCTCTCCCCCTCTCTCTCTCCCTAGTCTCTCTCTCCCTCTCTCTCCTCTCTCTCCCCCTCTCTCTCCTCTCTCTCTCCCCTTTCTCTCCCCCCTCTCCCCTCTCTCTCTCCCTCTCTCTCTCTCCCACCCTCTCTCTCCCCTCTCTTCCATCCCTCCTACAAAAAAATGTAAAAAAATAAAATTATAAAAATGTAAATAAAAATAAAAACCTACTGGCACTAGTGGCGAAACTAACAGGGTTGCAAAAGCCACTCTTGCGACCAGACCCTTGCGTTCCGCCACCAGGCTCTGAGAAAAGGGTCCCTGGGATTTGGGCTGCTCAGTCCAAAGTGCCCGGGCCTATTTTTTGTCCCAGTCCAGGCCTGGCCATGACCAATAAAAGGTACAATGTCTATGAAGATCTCAAGGTTCTACTCGTTTTACTAGGAGGTGCAGTATGTGAGTCTTCTCTGAGGTGCTGGATGTTTAACTATATTGGTGAAAGCTTGATGTAGACTAGATTCTTTGAGTAGCTTCAGGGTTTAACAGGTTGTGCAACACCCATCTATAGTGCTTGGCAGGGACGGACGGACCATTCGGGCACTCAGGCACTGCCCGAGGGCCCAGGGTCAGTAGGGGGCCCCATGAGATGCACCTAGTACCTTTCATAGGCTTTTTTGGGTGTGGTTTTGAGTGTGGGTAAGGACACAGGGGCCCCATGATCCCCTATTGTCCGGGGGCCTCATGAGTTGTCAGTCCACCCCTGGTGCTTGGTATAGACCAGGCCTATCCAGCTGGTTCACAGTTTCTGACCATCTCCTGTATCCTGTCCACAGTCTCTGACTGTCTCCTCTATCCTGTCCGCAGTCTCTGACTGTCTCCTCTATCCTGTCCGCAGTCTCCGGTCATCTCCTGTACTATGTCCATAGTCTCTGACTGTCTCCTGTACTATGTCCGCAGTCTCTGATCTCTCCTATATCCTGTCAACAGTCTCTGACCATCTCCTGTAGTATATCAGCAGACTCTGATCATCTCCTGTGTCATGTCTGCAGTCTCTGACCATCCCCTGTATCCTGTCCACAGTCTCTGACCATCTCCTTTAGTATGTCAGCAGACCCTGATCATCTCCTGTATCCTGCCCTCAGTCTCTGACCTTCTCCTGTATCCTGTCCTCAGTCTCTGACCTTCTCCTGTATCCTGTCCGCCGTCTCTGACCATCTCCTGTATCCTGTCTGCCGTCTCTGACCGTCTCCTGTATCCTGTCCACCGCCTCTGACCTTCTCCTGTGTCCTGTCCACAGTCTCTGACCATCTCCTATAGTATGTCAGCAGACTCTGATCATCTCCTGTATCCTGTCCTCAGTCTCTGACCGTCTCCTGTATGCTGTCCACAATCTCTGACCGTCTCCTGTATCCTGTCTGCAGTCTCTGACCATCTCCTGTATCCTGTCCACAGTCTCTGACCATCTCCTGTATCCTGACCAATCTCTGACCGTCTCCTGTATCTTGTCTGCAGTCTCTGACAAAACTCCTGGAGGTGGAGCTCTAATAGGAAAAGGCGGAGCCTAAAGCAGAAGGGGTAGAGTTTACAGATGAAGAGGTGGATCTTAAACAGGAAGGGGTGGGACAAATTTAGATGGGGGGTGTGATTTTAGTCTTGCCTAGGGCAGCACAAAACCAAGATACACCACTGGTGAGGAGAGCCGGTAATCAGCATTCCTCAGAGGGGACATGTACACAGATCATCAGAGCGCTGATGATCAGTGTGCCCTGATGATCTTTGTAGCCCCAGCAGTGCCACCTGTCAGTGTCCATCAGTGCCAACTCTCAGTGCTCATCCATGCCACTTGCCAGTGCCCTTCAGTGCCACATCAGTGCCACATGTCAGTGCCCATCAGTGCCACATCAATGCCACATATCAGTGCCCACCTGAGCTGCCTTTCAGTGTCACCCATCAGTGCCAGCCAGTGCCACCTATCAATGCCAGTCAGTGCCACCTATCAGTGCTGCGAATCAGTGCCACCTATTAGTGCCAGTCAGTGCCGCCTATCAGTGTGCATCAGTGCCGCCTATCAGTGCCCGTCAGTGCTGCCTATCAGTGCCGCCTAACAGTGCCAGTCAGTGCCACCTAACAGTTCCAGTCAGTGCCGCCTACCAGTGCCAGTCAGTGCCGTCTATCAGTGCCATATATGAGTGCTGCCTTTCAGTGCCCATCAGTGATGTCTGTCAATGCCTATCAGTGCCACCTACTAGTGCCTCCTCATCAGTGCCCATCAGTGCCACCTATCAGTGTCCATCAGTGCAGCCTATCAGTGCCCATCACTGCAGCCTCATTATTGCACATCAGTGAAGGATAAAAATCACTTATTTACAAAATGTTATAACAAAAACTAAGAAAAAACATTTTGTTTTTCAAAATTTTCAGTGGTTTTTGGTTTGTTTAAGAAAAAATAAAAAACCCAGAGGTGATTAAATACCACCAAAATAAAGCTCTATCTGTCACAAAAAAAAATGATAAAAATTTCATATGGGTACAGTGTTGCATGACCGCGCAATTGTCATAGAAAGTGCAACAGCGCTGAAAGCTGGAAATTGGCCTGGGCAGGAAGGGGGTATAAGTGCCCTGTAGGCTAGTGGTTAAAGAAAAGCCAACTGCAATAGTTTGTACACCTTTTGATTTGATTGCATATAGCTGTTTTCAACTGCATGGTCTATTGGAGTGTAATGTTTTAAAAGCCTTCTTCCTATGCCTGTTCATTGCTTTTTGAAACAGAAATGGTTCGAATTTGGCAGTGTTTGGCGTCGCACTGACACTTTCAGGGCCAGTTCACACTGCAAAAGCACACTCCGGATGCATTCCAGATACGTTTTTGGTTACAGTTCACACCACACGTAGTTCTGGTGCAGTTTTGATGCAGTTTGCAATGTTCCAGTATGGTTCTGTGCAGAAAAAATGCAGCATGTTCTACTTTTTTTCTGCACCGGAAACTGACTGGAATTGACTGCACTGGTGTGAACTAGGGCCATTGGAATACATGGAAATCACTGTGCACGCATTTGTGATACAGAAAAAAAGCACACTGGACTGCATCTAGTGTGAACTAGCCCTCAGTGCTAGTATGGCAAGACTGAAAGTGCAGTGAGTTAAAGCATGTTTAAGGTTAAGTTTTTTCACCTGGATTGAGTGGTCAAGGGTTGGGACCAGGGGCGGACTGACAACTCATGGGCCCCCCGGGCAATAGGGGATCATGGGGCCCCTGTGTCCTTGCCCAAACTCAAAAAAGCCTATGAAAAAGGTACCAGGGGCATCTCATGGGTCCCCCTACTGACCCCGGGCCCTTGGGCAGTGCCTGAGTTTCCAAATGGTCAGTCCGCCCCTGGTTTGGGAATATTGTCAGGCGTTTATTGCTGTTGTTATGTTCCTACTGGGGATTCACCATATCTACAACATATTTATTTATGTCACTGCAAAAATACACTTTGGGTGACTTTAGAGAGCATGGGGGATAGCCATCTGATAAGGGAGCAGATAATCAGGTAAGTAAAAGTGTTTCTCTTCTCCCCTAGATAAAATGAGAAATGAACCCTTGCAGTATGGATCCAACCCCAAGGGATCATGTTAAAGTTTCCTGGGCTTTAACTATTTGAGGATCTTAGACATAGAAGATATACCCTAAAAACTCCAATGTAGTTTCTATGGAGTATCTCCTATTCCAGGCATCACTAAATGGCAGACTGGGGTCCAGATGCATTCTAAGTCACTGTCCCACCTGGACCCATGCAGTCCTGCCATTTAAGAGCCTTTTCTTCCCACAGCTATCTTATGGTCATCCTCACAGAGCTGACAGAGGGAGGCAGGGCAGTCCTGGATGGAGGGTGGGCGCTGCCCGAAGTTAACAAGCAGGTGATTGGTTGCTAGGATGAAGGGCAGTCCTAGCAGTAAATCACTGTCTGTCAATCACTGTCTGTGTAAGGCAGGACAGTGTGGGGGGGGGGGCAAAGTTAAAGGGGCTAAGGAAATTTGTTTGAAGGGGGCCAAGAACTGAATGTGGGGGGCTGAGGACAGTAATGTGGGGGGCTAAGGACTGTGGTGTGTGGGGGCTGAGGACATTAAAGTGGGAGGGGCTGAGGACAGTAATGTGGGGGGGCTGAGGACAGTAATGTGGGGGCTGAATACAGTAACATGGGGGTGTCTGGGGACAGTAATGTGGGGGGATGATGTAAAAAGGGGCAGAATACTCTTCAGTGAAGGGGGCAGAGGACAGCACTGTCGGGGGGGATTTGATGTCAAGGAAGTATGAGAACACTACTGTGAAAGGGGTGGAGGGGGGTGATGTAAAGGGGGAGCTGAGGACACGCATCAAGAGGAATCTTTCTGTGAATGAGGAGGGGAATGTGATGTGCAGTGGGGATTGAGTACACTGATGAACGGGTTCAGATCGGTACATGTACCATTGGTGCACACGTTGTGGGTAGGTCAGCACTACCTGCTGGAAACCTGAAGAAGTCCCCGGCCCTGTTTTTCAAAATTGCACCGCAGCAACACATGGTTTGGCACACACGAAAATGCACCATGGGGCCTACATGAGGTTTGGACCTCTGATGCATGCACATTTTACTGCCTGGACCTTTGTGAATTTTAATTCAATACCCCTGTCCTATGCTCTTCTCCTCTTTGCCTGCTGCCACTCCCCTGCTGCTATTATTGGCAATTCTCAGCTGTCAAAATGACAGCTAGGAATTGCTATCTATCACGTAGCAGGAGTGGCTGTTAAAATGCAGCCATTCCTGTATAAAACAATGCTAGCATATAGTGTGCAAGTGTCGTTGAATAATGCAGTATAACAATGTAATGTTTCATGTTATTTACTAATTCATTCATATGTAAAACAAAGGTGTAATCTTTAGGCTGCAAATGACATCAGGTAAAGTAGCCCTACAAGTAAAAAATTGTTTTTTTTTAAATAAAATATATTCCTGTTTAATCCCTTTGAAACCCCTAGGTAAAGTCAAACAGCCCTAATTAACACCTTTCTGCCTTTCTTCCTTTAGGGATTAGGCCTCATGCACACAGTGCATTTGAATTTCTCTTCTTAATGCCTTATACTCCTGGCAGTAAAAAGCAGATTAAAAACCGTGCCTAAAGGCGTGTATTAAACACACATTTAGGCGCGGTAAAAGTTAGAGTGTTTATGGATTCCCTTGGCCAGATTATTAATTTATTCTGCCCATTCAAATGAATGAATGCTCAAGTGCTAAACACATCTAGCGTTTAGGTTCATTTATTCATGTTTAAGCACATCAAGCATTTTTCTGCCCAAAAGCCACTCTCCTGAATGCACTGCTAATGGGTTTTTCTTTCAGCCTATAAACCCTCCTCTTCTAATACGCCTGTAAACGCCTGTGTGCATAAGCACAAAGGCAAAGGTAAAGGCGTTTTTAAAGGCTGGAAAAAAAAAGTTAAACACCTCTAAAAGAAACTTTTCTTAAGCCCTGTGTGCATGAGGCCTTATTCTACTGATTTGTTTTCCATTTTTTTATCCATTAATATTTAAACCTAATTTTTTTAGCATTTTTTAATGCTGTCTGAAAATTATGCAAATAAAATCCTTTTTTTGATTTGCAAATAACTTTGGGACAGGTTGTAGAATAAAATGTATACTTTCAATCTATAGTAAAACTACTAATTTTAAAACTAATATTGGTCAGAAAGAATAATATTTTAGTTTTTCTATGAATTGCATAGAAAATAAAATAATTATAATTTTTGCCAGACAATATTGCCAAAATACACTCTTTTTTTGTCACTAAAATACAATGTACTTTGTCTAATCTTAGACTAAAGAATCACAATGCCAGACATGTTCATTTTGGATGGCACCGCAATACATTTATACTAGCTTCCAAGCATTGTAGACTCTGCTTGCTGTGTTTGCATGGGCACAATAGCCCATTCGTTTGAATGGGCTGCTGTACCTATGAGAAACACAAGAAAAAGGACCCAACCCTTTTTATAAAATTCGCTTGCATGTCTTCTGTAGCACCATGCGGTTTTGCGCATCCGAAAAAGTAATGCGTTTTCAGGTGCGAGGGGGGGTGGGTGCCATTACGAATTTATGGCACCCTGTGCGTCTGCTAAAGAGAAGTGTACTGTGTCTGTGGGTGTGGGAAACGCTTGCAATTTACACGCCCTCCTGCAACCACAATAGTGAGAACCTAGGCTTAGGCAATACGCATGTATTGCCATGTGCCACAGTGCACAGCAATGCACTATGATGTGTTGTTTTACAAATTCTGTGGCACATCCAATTGTGAATGGGCTGCTTTAATGTAATGCACATTAATGTGTGCCGTAACATGCTTTAATGCATTGAAAGAATGCACATGGGCCCTCCATTATAATGTAGTGCTGACCGCCACAAAGACCACTGATTTGAGTCCCAGGTTCTTTTCCCACTAGTGCAGCAGCAGCCAGGCAAACAGCAACATTTATACCTTTGGTTCAGTAAACAGTGTAGGGGCTGCCTTTTTCAAAGTTAATTTCAGATTAATTTGGGTGGGGCTTAGGGAAACAATGGGATACTCCAGAACCAGGGGCAGACTGACCATTTGGAAACTCGGGCACTGCCCGAGGGCCCAGGGTCAGTAGGGGGCCCCATGAGATGCCCCTGGTACCTTTTTCATAGGATTTTATGAGTTTGGGCAAGGACACAGGGGCCCCATGATCCCGTATTGCCCGAGGGCCCCATGAGTTGTCAGTCCGCCCCTGTCCAGAACACTGAACAAGAATGTGAGAACACTGTTCTCTCTGCAGCTACTTCTTAGTACAGTCCAATCACCAGTAGGACAAAATGTGGACAGCACTGGGAGACCATAAGTAATGTCCCAGGCTTGGAAAGTCTTAGTATTAGAGTACCAGGTGATAACAGCAGCAACAGTCACTAGGATGCTCACAGAGAGTACAAAACCTGGTGCAGATCTGCATAGAAACCATTCAGTTTCCAGGTTTTTTGTCAAAGATTAATTGACCTAGCCAAAGTTAAAAGCTGATTGGCTACCATGCACAGCTGCACCAGATTTTGCACTCTGCACTTTTAGTAACTGAACCCCACAG